GGGTTTAATGGTGCAAACAAAGAAACAGTTCATCCAATAAACGTTTATTGARCAACTACTGTATGCCAGGCATCATAGTGGGCAGTGGGTCTGAGGGTGGAGATAGGCAATAATGAATAAACACATGTATCTAGATCATTACAGCTGGGGAGGACAGCTCAGAATATAAAGAGGATCAGTCAATAAGGAAGGTCTCACTAGGGAGGTGACAAGGTCATGGAATGGTGGGTGGCCCAAAGATACTGGGAGCTGGGGGTAGGGTGACCTTATTTGAAGGGTACAAAAGGTTCCTTAASTGAGGCAATATGGTCTCAGAAGGCCTGGGCTTAGTGCAGAGGGGTGTTTGGACTCTAGGAGTCCAAACAAGTTCCTTAATTTCTCTAAACTTTTCCTTATCTGTAATTCAGTGACAATACTACCAGCCTTCCCCTAGCTGCCAGGGTACTGAGGATGGAAAAGCTGGAGCAGAAATTTAATAAATTACCAAAAATCACTAGAAGAATGGGCAAGAAACACAAAAAGGCACTTCAAATTAAATAAACAAACAACAACAAAAAACACAGATGATCCAAAAACAGAGAAGAGATTTTCAATCCCAGCTTGATATGCTTATAAAGTGGGTCCACCATTTCCTTTCATGTGCCCTGGAGTCTGAACCACACCCAGCAAACACCCAGGTGTCCATCAGCAAGACAGGGAACCCAGACACAGCTATGCTCACACATTGGAATACTGTGTACAGCCAGAATGAACCACACAAATGTGCAATGATATGGATGCATCTTAGCAGTATAATATTAAGGGGGGAAAGTCTCCCATATTATATACAGCAACATGCCCCTTTTATAAAGTTAAAACAACTAAAGTGAAAATATATCATTTGAGAGAATATGCAAATACAATAAAATCACACAAAAAGGAAAGCAAAAGAATGCTGGGAGAAGATTTGAGATGAGGGTTACCCTAGGCAGTGGGGCAGCAGGGGGATTATAGAATGACATGTAGGTTACTGGAAAGATGCTAGCTGTTTTTGTTTTTGTTTGGTGAGTGCCAATTAAATAATTGATAGGAATACATCATGAGCTGGGCACAGTGGTGCATGCCTGTAATCCCAGAGACTTGGGAGGCTAAAGCAGGAGGATCTAGGGTTTAAAGCCAGCCTCAGCAAAAGCAAGGAGTGAAGCAACTCAGTGAGACCCTGTCTCTAAATAAAAAATACAAAATAGGGCTGGGGATGTGGCTCAGTGGTTGATTGCCCCTGAGTTCAATCCCRGTACCCAAAAATATTTTWAAAAAATTAAAAAGAATACATCATGAACAAAAAGATTATAAATAACCCAATCCTGTGCACTTGAGGTCTAATTAATTATTCAGGAAGATATTATTATTATTTTGGTACTGGGATTGAACCCAGGGGTACTTAACCACTGAGCCACATCCCCAGCCCTTTTTTAAATTTTATTTAGAGACAGGGTCTCACTGAGTTGCTTAGGGCCTTGCTAAGTTGCTGAGGCTGGCTTTGAACTTGTGATCCTCCTACCTCAGCCTCCCTAGCCACTAGGATTACAAGTGTGCACCATCAGGCCCAGCAGGGGAATTTCAGATGGTTTCTATTTGGCTTTGGAATGAAATCAGGAGCCAGACTCCCCATTAAGCAGCTTCTTCCTGGAGTTTATTCCTCATGGGGGACTCTTTACTCGTCTTAAGACTCATACTCACCCTTTACCCTCTTTTTCTTACTTTTAGGTGGACACAATATCTTTATTTTATTTTATTTTTATGTGGTGCTGAGGATTGAACCCAGTGYGTCATGCATGCTAGGYGAGCACTCTATCACTGAGCCAAACATCAGCCCCCTTTACCCTCTTAAGTACCCAAAGCCCGTCACGGACTGTGACTGGTGACTATCTAAACCTTCCCATCTTCATTTCTCCAAAGGCTTCTAGAACCCTGACCTCACTGGGTCACCATGACTAACTGGGTAGATGGTTTATTTGCATTCCCCCTTCATAGATGAGCCTGAGGACYGAAGGAAGGGGGCACTTCTAGGGTAGGCCTGGCTTCACATTCTAGCAATGTTCCTGGCTCCACCCTGGGGCCCAGTGCACCCATTTCCTCCCAGATGAGCCTTTTCAGGGCTAAAAGCATTCAGGCTTTCTGTTTCTGGAAGATGACAGTCTCAYCCTAGATCCCGAGAGACTGGGGTGGGAGAACTCCTGAGGCAATGCAAGCAGGCAAGCCACTCTCTGAGTGGGTAACTTCCCTTTGGGCAATGGCCCACCAGCGACCCTTAAACTACACTCCCTACCACCAACAAAGCCCAGCCCAGCCAGCTCACCTTAGAGCCAAATCAAAAGACTACCACAAGACTCTAGAATCTGGTGAGTCTCCATCAATTTACCCAATTGTGATATGGGATAAGGACCACTAGGCTCTCTGTCCAGAAGTGACAAGAAGGCAGAATTTAACAGGCTATCAAGAAGCTTAGAAAAGTACAAATTTYAGATGGTAGGAGCCATCATCACAAGAGAACACAATAACTCTTGGGATAAGAGTCTAAACACACCCCCAAACTTGTCCCAAAAGAGCAGAAAGAAAAGACTTTAAAGGAAAATGACTCTGACTTCAAATGTCAGAGTCAGAAAGGGCACATTTGGGGAAACCTGGCAACTAAAACCCAGTGAAGCCCAGAGATTTACCCAAAATCACATAGCCAGGCAGGGCAGAGAGGCATTAGGCAGGGCAGGCTCATTTCCTTGCTCACCAATTTTCAGGTGAAGAAAGTGTGTTTACTGCTCAGTTCCTTTGAAGCTGAGCTGAGACAAAGTTGAATGAGGGACTCATTGGAGGTTTGTCTCAACTCAGGAAGGAAAGACTTTCTCCCTACAGAGATTTCCCACAAATCAAGGGGCTTCCCAGAGGGTAGGGAATGAGTTTCCATTTTGAGGACTATGTGAGCAGCAAGCAAGACCTGGGGTCCTGGTTGTCCTCCCTTCCTCATACCATAATCACTGAGTGTCCACTGTCCTGCCCTATACCCACATCCTTCCCTCTCCTCTTGAGTGGAGCCTCCCAGCCTAGTCCTGACCCATTAAGGTCTCTTTGATAGGCACTCTGGTGGCTGAGTAAGACAGATGGCTGACTTACCACATCTTTCACTGACACCCAGCTACTGCATGGATGTAGGAAGGCCAGGGTAGGTTTGACCAGCCTATAGAGGACTGGGGCAGGGTTGAAGGAGCATGGGGCAGTTCAGGCCGTCCTTTGTTACCAGGGAAGGTGAGCTCCAGCCCAATAAGGACGAGAAGAAGGCTGCTGGGGGGCTCAAATGAAAGAGAACTACTTTATCAGGATCTGGGGGTGAGGTTGGACTGTCAGTGTTTGAACACCCTAAAATCTGAATAATAATAATAATAATAATAATAATAATAATAATAATATTTCAGTTCTGGGAATTGAACCAAACAGTGTTCTACCACTGAGCTACATTCCCAGTCCTTTTTATTTTTGAGACAGGGTCTGGCTAAGTTGCCTGTCTGACCTCAAATTTGTGATCTTCCTGCTTCAGCATCCCCAGTTGTTGCTATTACAGGTATGCGCCACCACCGTGCCTGCCTAAAATCTGAATTTGAGTCAGCAGGAGCTGTCATTTTTTTCCTGAATTTTTTCCTGACACTGGTCAAAGTTACTTCTCCAAAAATATCTATCTCCAAGGGTGGCTTGAGGATTAAATCAAATGAATGAAACAATATTACCCTACATCATAGGCGTTCTGCAAATTTTCGTTCATTCAGATGGGGTCCTGTGCTTAAATTGGGCCAGCGAGGATGAAAAGGACCTAATAGCCAGGCGAGAGTGGGGAAGCAGGTGGCGCCAGAATACGAGAAAAAGACTCGCCAGACGGGCAAAGGAGCAAAGTAGATTAGTGTGAAGCAGGAGAAACAACCTAAACGTTTCCTGCCAGGAGGATGGAGCAGTCGCTGGAAGAAATTTAAATTTAGCAGTGGGCAATCAAGCGCATTCCTGTCGGAGCCCTTTTTGAGGGTTAGGCCGAAGGAGGGACAGGGAGCCTTGCGAAGGTTTGTAAAAACTAAGCGGACTTAGAAACACTAAAAGGAAGTGAAGTCTTCCCAGTTCTCCGATGGCTGGGGGGGGTAGAAGTGGCTTATCTGTCCAGGGCTCAGAGGCCTGGGAGGATCAGGCCGGTAGAGGGCGCAAGAGCCACGTACCCTGGAGTTCAAGAGAAGAGGGGGAGAAGCGCAGGGCGGAGCATCGAGAAGAGAAGCCTCTGGGAGGACCCCGCGAGGTGGGAGGCGTGGCAGCTGGAAAAGTTGGGTGAGGTATGACCCCCAAAGGGTGGGGCTTCTGGGATAGGTAGCAAGTTTTGAGGGACCATCAGAACTGGACAGGCCGCAGGGAGGTAGTACTGGTGGAGCGTTTGAAAGTGTGAGGGGTGGGACGTAGGCGTGGTGTTGCAGGATTCGCCGCAGAGGGTGGGACAAGGGGCGTGACCTGGGCGGAGTGAAGGGCGGAGCGGGAGCAAATAACGCGGGCCGGCTTGCCCCGCCCCCGGTTCCCCAGATCCCACCCCTTTCTCGTACTGGAAGGTGTTTCTCCGTGTACCTGAGTATCGGTGTGTACGAGAGTTTGTGGGTACGAGGTTGCCATGTTGGAGCCCCTCGGGCAGAAGGTGTTCCCGCGCGAAATCTGCTGAACTGCGGTGGGTGCTCCACTGCGGCTGTGTGTCTGCAAAGCTGACCACGTTCAGAGCTCGCGTGTGTCTGAGCGTGTGCCTGGGGAGCAGTTCGGCCCGCTGCGCTCCTGAGGGACTTCTCTGGAGGGTCTCGCCGGCTTTCCTGTGTTCAAGCATCTCGTTTCTCCTTCGGCTCCTCCCCGATTCCCAACCCCCTTCGGGCTCCCAGCCTCGCGCGCGCCCGGAGCCCACCCCCTCTTTTGGGCGCGAGGCCCCGCCCCCCGCCCCCTTTCCTCTGCCACAAAGTTTATTTGCAACAAAAGGGAGCCCGGAGAGAGCAGTCTAGAGGGAGGGAGCGGGAGCTGGAGAGGGARCGCGAGGGGAGGCAAGCCGTCCGCCCAGCTGAGGAACCGAGTGTTGGGATCCCTTCCCAGCGGAGCCACGATGTCCTTGGACGCTCCGGCCGAGGCGAGGGACCAGCCGGGAATTCGTCGCTGAAGCGGGAGCGGCCGCCTGGGATGGAGCCGCTGCCTCCCGCGACCGCAGAAACTTGATCCGCGACAGATAAACCTCTGCTCAGATTTCTGCGCCCTCCCAAATCCCGCGCGTGGCGGGTGCAGGACTCAGGCCTTCGACTCCCGCCACTGCGCTCCTTTGGAGCGGGGGCAGAGGGGGGGTTGGCCGCGGCTCTCCGAGGCCAGCCCCCCCGGAGTGAGTGCTGCCACCATGGCGGACGGGTCGCCCCGGCCCCCGCTTTACCGCAGTGTCTCGTTCAAACTGCTGGAGCGCTGGAGCGGCGGACAGGGACCAAGGGAGGAGGACACGGACACCCCTGGTTTGCGGCGCCGCGCCTCGTGCCGGCCGGCCACGGCCATCCCGGGCCAGCCCTCCCGGCGCGTGTCCAAGCTGGCGTCGGGGCCCCCGGCCGCCCCCGCGCAGCCGCACCCGCTCCGCAGCCTCTCGCCATCCGTGCGCCAGCTCTCCCGGCGCTTCGACGCGCCGCATCTGGACGACGACTCTGCTGGGGTTCGAGACGGGGGCGTCTCTCCCGGGGCCGCGGAAGAAGCGGCCGAAGGCGCTGCCCGGGGGGCCTGGCCCAGCGTCACCGAGATGCGCAAGCTCTTCGGCGGCCCTGGCTCCAGGCGGCCGGGTGCGGACTCTGAGGCCTCGGGTACGCCCAACCCCGACGGTGCTGCGTGGGAGCCCCGGCAGCCACCGACGCCACCTCCTCGAACGTGCTTCCCCCTGGCGGGCCTGCGATCGGCGCGGCCACTGCCCGGGCCGGGGATTGAGGGGAGGCGGCGGCGACAGCAGCAACAGCTACAGGAGCGGGCTCAGCGTCCGGCGGATGGTTTACATTCTTGGCATAGCTTCTCTCAACCGCAGGCCGGGGCCCGGGCCTCCTGCTCCTCCTCCTCCTCCATCGCCTCCTCCTATCCTGTCAGCCGCAGCCGGGCTGCCAGCTCCAGCGAGGAGGAAGAGGAGGGCCAGCCGCCGCAGCCTGAGGCTCAGAGTCCGGCCTACCATGGCGGACACTTCTCCGGCAGTGACGAGGACCAAGACGGTGAGGGCGGCCACCGCCGGAGAGGGAGACCCGGGCTCAGGCCTTCAAGCTCCCTGTTGGATCAAGACGTCCGGCCCGACAGTGATGGGTTAAATCTGGGCAACATGGACTCAGGGGGAGTCAGGAGTCCTGAACCTCCTACATCGCCAAGAGTCCCTAGTGAAGAGGCATCCCGGGAGTGGGATATTGGCTCACAGTCTTGCTTCTCAGGTGCCCAGGAAGGCTTGCGGCCTATGTCGGACACTGTGGGAGGAGCTTTTCGTGTGGCCAAGGTGAGCTTTCCAGCGTACCTGGCCAGCCCCGCGGGCTCCCGCGGTAGTAGCCGCTATTCTAGCACAGAGACCCTCAAGGACGATGACTTGTGGTCTGGCCGGAGTTCTGGAAACTGGGGCGTGTACCGCTCCCCTAGCTTTGGAGCCGGGGAAGGGCTCCTGCGGCCCCAAGTTCGAACTCGTAGCAAGGGGCCTGTGGGCACCACCAGAATGTTGAGGGATGGAGGATTGGAGTTGGATAAGAGCCGGCAGAGGAAGTCCCTGTCCAATCCAGATATTGCCTCAGAGACTCTGACACTGCTCAGCTTCCTGCGCTCAGACCTTTCAGAGCTAAGGGTCCGAAAGCCCAGTGTTGGCCCTGGGAACAACCTCCTAGATGGCAGAGACTCACCATCAGCAGGTGGCCCAGTGGAGCAACTTGAGCCCACGCCCTCCCATACTCCAGCATCACCTGGCACCCGCCCCACACTCAAGGACTTGACTGCCACCCTTCGGAGGGCTAAGTCCTTTACCTGCTCTGAGAAGCCTATGGCCCGCCGCCTGACCCGTACCAGTGCCCTGAAACCCAGCTCCTCTGAGCTCCTGTTGGCAGGCTCTGGTGCTGAGGAGGACCCATTGCCTCTTGTGGTCCAGGATCAGTATGTGCAGGAGGCCCGTCAAGTTTTTGAGAAGATCCAGCGTATGGGTGCCCAGCAGGATGATGGAAGTGATGTTCCCCACAGAAGCCCTGACTGGGCAGGGAATCTGACCCAAGGGCAGCGGTCCCAGGAGGAGCTGTCTGGCCCAGAGTCCAACCTGACAGATGAGGGCATTGGGACAGATCCTGAGCCTCCTGGGGCAGCCTTTTGCAGCCTGGGTACTACTGGAGTGTGGAGACCTCTTTCTTCATCCTCAACCCAAACAAACCACTATGACCCTGGGACTGAAGACAATCTGGGTGGGTGGGCCCTGGTGTCCACTGACACCCCTCCCACACCAGGTGCCCTCCGCAGGAGACGCAAAGTCCCACCTTCAGGCCCTGGTGGGACTGAACTGAGCAATGGGGAGGCAAGTGAGGCCTACAGGTCCCTGAGTGACCCAATTCCACAGCGCCATCGGACTGCCACCTCTGAAGAGCCCTCTGGGTTCTCTGTGGACAGCAACCTCCTGGGCTCACTAAGCTCTAAGACAGGGCTTCCAGTGACCCCAGCTGTGGATGAGAGCTTGACCAGTGGCCACAGTGACTGGTCAGTGGTCAGTGAAGAGAGCAAGGGTTATCAGGAGGTCATTCAGAGCATTGTTCAGGGGCCTGGTGCTTTGGGACGTGTGGGGGAAGAGAGGGTTGCTGGCAAAGCCCCCAAGAAGAAATCTCTGAGTGACCCTAGCCGTCGTGGGGAGCTGGCCGGGCCTGGATTTGAGGGCCCTGGAGGGGAACCCATCCGAGAAGTCGAGCCTGCATTGCCTCCATCCAGCAGTGAGCCTATTCTTGCAGAGCAGCGGGCAGAGCCAGAAGACCCTGGTCCTGCCAGGGGCCGGGCACAGTCTGAGCGGGCACTACCAGAGGCCCCGCCTGCCTCCTCCACTGCCCACCACAGCTTCTACCTTGACCCCAAGCTGACTGATGTTCTATCCCCTCGGCTTAGCCGCCGAGGCTCCAAGAAGCGCCCAGCCAGGAGCAGTCACCAGGAGCTTCGGAGAGAGGAAGGAAATCAGGACCAGATTGATAGCCTAACTCAGGCTCGGCCTTCCTCCAAACATGTTCGCCATGCCAGCGTGCCCGCCACCTTCACACCTATTGTGGTGCCTGAGCCTCTGACTTCTGTTGGCCCCCCTGTAGCTGTTCTGGAGCCTGTGGCCTTCCCTGCCCGAGCCCACCCCACATTGCAGGCTCCGTCCCTTGAAGATGTCACCAAGCAGTACATGCTGACCCTCCACTCTGGTGAGGGCCCGGCTCCAGCTCCTGTGGACCTGCCCTTGACTCCCATTGCACCGCCCTCTGTGGAGGCCAAGCCCTCTGAGGTGGTTCGAGCTCCAGATGAGCCTCCCCCAGCCAGCAAGTTCTGTGGCAAGCCACAGGTGGTAAGTCCTTTATGGGGAGCCTTTGAGTGGGGCCCTGTGGGCACTAACCTGTCAGGAGCCTTTTGCATGTACTTACTGGACAGGTGCCCAAGTCCAAGAGTGCTTAACTGGACCTGGAAGTGCCCTGGCAGTATTAAGAGTGTTAGTAACAGAGGCTCCTGTCTGCTCAGACCCTAAGGAGGCCTCAGCTTCTGCTGGTGCTAATGCTGAAGGTTCTCTGCTGCTCCAAGGTGTGCTAGTGATGACAAAAGGTTCTTATCAAGTCCTTTGCATGTGTCTCAGGGACTGGCTTTCAAGACTCCCATGTGGGTCTTTGTTGTGAATGCACCGAGTGTGTGAGGGTGGCAACGCCCTGCACACATCAGTTCTGTCTCTGAGGTTTGTTGCTCAGCTGCTGGCAGCAAGGCTTCCCCTTGGATGTTTGGGCTCAGGGGTCCACAGTTGGCATGTGTTTTCCTTTCCTTTTGTGGCTTTCCTGTGATGGGTCAGAATGTCTGTTCCTGAGCCTGGGAGAATTGGGGAGTTAAGGCCTTACTCTGTGGAGTAGTGGAAGGGACTCAGGGTGCYAGCCCTAGCTCATTCCTAGTTGTGTGACATTGGCCTTTCTTAGGACTTAACTTCCCCATCTGTAAAATTGGGTCAGGAGGGATGTGGACAAGATGGTGCCTGTGTTTTCATCTAGTTAGTACTGTGCAGATTGGAGGAAGTCTGTGGGATTGAGTTGGAGCATTCTCGGGGCCTGAGTTCTGCCAGAGCCTCCCTCTTCAATTACAGGAGCTTCCAGATAGAGGCTGCTGGGGAAGGGTGGAGGCAGGGAGGCTGGGCAGCAAGGGCCTTTAGAAAGGTCAAGATTAGTCCTGGCCCCCAGAGGCAGGGGTGCCTCCACGGGTCAGTTTGGGTCCCTAGTCTCCCATCCTGACTGCTTGCTTCTGTTCTCCACCATACCCCTTTCCTGGTGATTTTGAGACATGACCCCACCCCAGGACCCAGGCCTAGGGGTCTCACTCTCCCTGAGGCCCCCAATTCTACCTTCTGGCTTTAGCCATCTCTGGGGGTGGGGCTGTGGGTTTAGATTGGTTCATAGTTGCACATGTCCTGGCATCTTGACTGGAGGCTAGAGTCAAGGCACTTGGTTTCTGGACTAAGCTCAGGGGTGGTCAGGGGTTATGTCAATCGCTGCCCTTGCTCTCACTGTGTTCCTGACTGTGAGAAGCCTGGAAACCCTAAACCCTGGACTAATTTGGTCACTCCCATTCCCAGCGCTCTCACGGCCCCTCTGAACTCCAGTTCCCTTTGTTTCTCTCTCCTCAGCTCCATTTCCCCTGGTCCTGGCTCTGCTGTTCCTCACRGAGGCCACAGTGGAGTCAGCAAGCACCATGGGAGGAGGGAGGGAGATTTGGACCTGTCCTTCCTTCTGAGRCCCTGTTAGGGGAGCTCAGGTGCCCTACACTCCACTACCAGTTTTGTTTTTGGAAGATGGGGGAAGGGAAGACAGAGCAGGGGCAGCTCCTGCTGTGGGTACTGTCCCCCCTCCCCAGCTTCCTTTCCCATGTAATGCTCTCCTCTGGGATCCTGAGCTATGCTGGGGAGAGGGCAGGAGTAAACCAAGGGACTCAGGGAGCCTGTGTGTGGTGGGGGTGATCCTGAGGGGAGGCATTGAGATCAGGGAGGGGGTGGGAGTTTTCGCAGAACTGGCTCCTGCCCACCTCCCTTGGCCTCCCCCATGCACTGGGGCACTCTGAGGTGGGGGAGCTGCCATACAGACTTCTCCCTGCCCTGACAGCAGACTTTCTGTGGCCTCCAAGCCCTTGGCCTCTCCAGTCCTCCCACTCTTCCAGGCCCCATTTCATGTCCCCCCTTACCCTTTAGGGGAAAGAACTGGTGAGTCTATAATTAAAAGAACAGAGTTGGAGCTGCCTCAGCTGCAGATCTCTGTGTGGCTTATAATCTGTCATATGCTGTCTCCGTGCCTTGTTTTCCCCTTCTGTATAATGGGATTAATGGTCACTGCCTGGCAGGTTGAGTGGGTGGTTTCATCATTTCATGCCTAGGAGCAGGAGAGGGAAAAACAGGCTCCCCTGCCCCGTCTGCTTCTCAGAGAAGCTTGTCCCTCCTCCCTGTTTCTCTACTGGTTACTGAGCACAGGTCTCAGTGTGACCTAGGCTCAGAAGACATTCACCATTCCTGAGTTCTCCATCTCCTCATAAAGCCCGTAAGTTCTCCCATCTGCTAATCTGAATCCATCCTGCTGTCCCCTTCCTTCTGGCACCATGAAAATGGGCAGCAGCTGTCCACCACCTCCTGTTGGACTTCCTTTAGGAGATAGTGTTCCCTTGTCTAGGGTCTGGGGCTTTAGTCCCACTCCCTGCTCTGTGGGTACAGATGGCATGGTATGGGCTCCAGAATAAGAAGAGATGAGAGGAGCTGTCACTACTTGCTTATGGGGCAGAAACCAATGTGAACTCAACCAGGACTGACAGGAGAGAATGTGGGGACCAAGAGGACCCTGGGCATGACCTCAAGCTTTCAGAAAGTTCTCACACTCAGGTGCCTCCCAGCCCAGACCCATAGTCACCCTTGGTGTGGTGCTGCCCCCTTGCTGGGAGGCAGGAGGCTCAGACCCAGACCTGGCCCAGCCTCTGACTCACTTTGGACCTGTACAGTCTTCTTTGTGTCTCAGTTTTCCCATCTATACAGTGGGAGGTTAGACTGTGTGGTTTTGGAGGCCCTGTAAGAAGGACTGAGCCTCCAGGGTGGAAGAGGCATGGCTGGAGGGAATAGAGAGACAGCTCTCTACAGTTGCTGTAAGGGATCTAGGACCACGGAATAGGGGGCAGCTCATGGCATCTAGTCTGAACACCTGCTTGCAAGTTGCTGTTTGGGCCTCCCTGCTCAACCCCTCCCACTCTCTTGGTTTCTTCCACTTGGGTCTAAAATAGCTAACTGATCAGCCACCCTTGGCACCAAGGCTTCCCCTACCCCAGACTTGGAGTCGTGTAGTCATTTCTGCACTCAGGTACTTGGTGCTCCATTGACACACTAGACGTCTCTAGCCCAGAAACAGGAAGCGGCTTGTCTCAGAATCACAGATGGATGAACCCATGGAACTTGAGCATTTTGGAATAGCAGTGACAATGGCCAGCATTTATTAAATGCCTGCTATATGACAGACACTGCTGTTTCATTCTAGTGTGAAAGCTTGGTCATCTTATAGTGTTGCCTTAGACTCAGAGGCTGTTGGAGTCACCCTGAATCTTAGCATACCAGTATCTTAAGGTAAAGAGACTGTTTCTCAGTGAAATTGGCCTGCCATCTGAGAAGGGGCTCAGGGATAGTTGGGGACATCACCTATACATCCCCAACAGCCTAAACACTTTCATAATGGTTACTTAATTCAGAGCCTGGGGTGCAGGTAAGAAGAACTTTGAGACCCAGAAAGGGAAGATGCTGGGCCCAAGGTCACATAGCAAGACCAGGCAGAGCTGGATTCAAGCACCAGAATCCTGGCCTTCTTCCTGCCTCCCCCAGCAAACATCTCCCCYGACCCCCAGCTCACCCAGCCAGCTCCCTGCCCTGGGAGGCCTGGGCTGCAGCTCTTCCAATTGCCTTTGTCTCTCTGGCTCCCCCTTGGCAGGGAACCCACAGTTGTTGGTGGTGGGGGCTCTCTCCTTCCCCTCTTTGACTCTTTGCTGTGATTTTTCCATGGAAACTGGTTCTGGGCGGGAGGGGATGAAGCCATTAGGACATTTGGAATTCTGAGCAGTACCAAATATCTATAATTAAATATCTTGTCACCCAGTAGGAGGAGGTTGGGATGGGGGAGGACAGGCAGAAGGGCTGTCCTTTTCCTGTTTATTCTCTATCACCCCCATTCTTTCCCAATGTCCTGGGCTGTTGTGGGGAGTGCTGTCCAGGAATGAGTCCACCCAGCAGGGAAGGGTTGGGGGATGGACCAGAGAGTTGAGCATGACATTTTCCAGCCCCTCTGTTTCTGGGACCAGCTGGGTTTGGGAGGCTGCTGCTAATCCTGTCCCCAGCCCCCTCTCCCCAGCATAGGGACTTGCCCCTCCTGCTTTCCTCCCTCCCATCTGTGATCTCTCTGGCTGCACGTGCTGCAGCAGTGGGGTGGAGATGCCCCAGGCTGCCTGAGAGCTGAGACAGTGAGTTTAGAATCTAGAAGCAGTCTGGACAGGGCTTAGGATGTTAGCCTGGCAGAGGAGGCTTCTTAGAGGAGGCTTTGCCTGAGATTGGCCTTGAAATCTGGGAGAGAGGGAGGGACTCTAGGAGGAGGGCACAGCTTCAGCAGAGGAGTGGGAAAGAACCAGGCAGGTTATGTGCAATAAAAGTTTGTTCCAGAGACTTGGGCAGTCCTTGATAGAGTAATGCTGTCATCCGCCCAACAAATACTGAGCACCAAGACCAGCAGGCACTCTTCCAGGTCTGTGGATATATACAGCAGCAGTTCCCAAAGCTTCCAGACTAGTGAGGACACCTATCTATAAAAGTGACACTATGTGTCAGGGAGCAGAAGGAGCTAGGGAGAAAAATACAGCAGGATTAAGGAGTTGAGAATGACCCGGTGGGGTGCTGTTTTAGATTGAGGGGTCTAGAAAGGCCAATTCTGAGGAGGTGACATCTGAGCAGAGGCCTAGAGGAAGTGAGGGAGCAAGTCAGGTGCGCATCTCGAGGAAGAGCATTGTGACAAAGAGGGACAGCAAGTGCAAAGGCCCTGAAATGTTTGAGGAACAGACTGGAGTATGGTGTGGATGGAGCAGAGCAGTAGGAGATCCAAGGTCAGAGTGGTAAAGGGGTAGGGTGGGCCAGGAGGGGAAGAGCCATCTGGTGGTAGGAGGACTTCACATCTACTGGCTTCTACTGAAAGTGAGAGGGGCAAACATTGTTGGAGGGTCCTAGGTGGAACGGGACCTGAATAGTTGGTCAAGGCATGAACAGGTGTGTTCTGCTGCTGTGTGGGTAGACTGCAGGGCTCAGGGAAGAAG